GTATGCAAAGTACTTTCTACATTCCTTTGAATGACCAGATACAATCTTTCAGAAACACACTTTATTTTTGCCTTTGCGGTTAGTGGAGGAATACACCTGTCATATCTGTGATTCTTTTAAGAAGGTTTCATAAATAGGACTCTGTTGGTTTGGCAAGGATAACTCAATGATTGTTATAACTGACATTAATCTAGCTTTAATGTTTTTTTTTCTTAAAGGTCACCTATTATGCAAAATCCACTTTTTCATGTCTTTTGTACATAAACATGTGTCCGCTAAAGAGATTCTGAAAGTTTCAGGAAAAAAGATTCGCTCACTTTTTGTCCTGATCCATTTATATCAAAACCTGTCTGAAAATGAGCTGATCAGATTTTGGCCACTTTATGATGTCATAACGATTTTTTGGCTTGTGTAACCATTAGCTAATAACCAACCAAGGTAATACCCCCCCCCCCCCTTATCACCTGAATCTCCTCCTAGAGCACCATTGTGTTCTTTTTAACCAAATATCTCTCAGAGGGGCGTGGGGGGTAGCTCCTTATTTTCATCTAAAGTAACAGACAGAGAATCAGCACTTTTGAAACAGGGCTGAAACAGAAGGGATTATGGGATACTACAATGATCTGTTTGGTATTTAGAGCCAAACACTTCAGAGATATCTGATACCTATAATATATTGATGAATGACAGTATAATAGGGGACCTTTAAAACAAATGACTTTTTTTTCTTCTTGGAAGGGGAGATACTTGATTAACAGGCCAGATGCTGGGCATTATTGATCTATGTATCCACACCTTGAACTGTTGCATAGGTTAGTTTGCACCACAAAAACATAGCTAAGATCACCTAAATAGCAGTGTATGATCGTCTAATGATAACATCTTTAATTGTGACCACTGGGTGTCACTAGATATCTCTGATCAATATCTCTGTACAAGCTACAACCACATTCATCTGACTCGGTCTTTAATATATTCAAATTCAAATGTTCATCCTTTACTGAGCTGTTCAAATTTCATTCTCTTCGTTATGCTTTAGGAAGACAGTCAAAGTCGAAAGGTGTGTTTGTGTGTCACCCACTGCGGAGCGAGATCTGTGGGTCTCTAGGTTGGTCCCACAGAGGACGCCTCTAGCGGCAGCCATCTTGGAAGTGGTGGTATTGCCCTGGCACGGTGTGTTTTTTGTCTGCTGGTGTTCTGTCTGCCTCAGAATCGTTTCCCTGTCGCTTTTTCCACCTCATCGTCTTTCTTCCCCATCTCTCTTGCCTCCCTCCTCAGCCATTCAAATAGTCTAATTTGCAAATGTGAAAAAACAAGTGGGGAGGAATAAAGAGAGAAATGGAGAGATGAACCTCCAGCTGAAGAAGGTGCCCCCCTACACACACAAACCACCTCCGCCCCTCACCCCATCCTCTCGTTATCCTCCCCAGCTCATTTGAATAAATTAACACCCCTTGATGTCTCATGTGCACGTGCATGTACTCTTATGCAAAAACACACATACGCAAGCACGTACACACTCAAGCAAATACACACTCCCAAATGCATGTGCATGCAAACCCGACTGTAGGGAAGGAGAGCCGCCAGAATGATATGCCCTGCTCTTTGCCGCCATGTAAACATGCACACACTCTCTAATGTGCTCATATGTGCTCATACACTCTCACACATCTGCCACAACAATCATGCATGCTTAGTTTAAAGACAAACACAGTCCATTGGTAGGTGCCTTCCTGTTAATGTACTGCGGCAGGGTGGTGTGTGTGATTCATATTAGCCTAATGCAGTGGCTCGTTCATTCACGGCGGTACGCAGATCTAGCTTAGCGGCCCAATGAGAAACAGGAGTTCTGCAGCACATTGCTTGGACCATGTTAGGGACTAGCACTTAACACAAACTGCAGTTTTGTGTTTTCTAACTGTTTCTTTCACACAATAAGTGCTCAATTGTTGTCATCATCATCCTGTGTTTTGCCTCTTTTAGCTCCTGTTACCAGAATCCTACAGCATTGCCCGTATTCCTGCACTTTCCCCCCCATCCTCATTTGATCCCTTTGACCTTGTACAGAGCTGAGCACTAGTACCATGTGCCCTCTTTCTCCCCTAATTCTGACCTTGCTATGGTTTCCCTGGGCTGCAGAGCTTTGCATTAATACTGGATACATTAGCACTAATATGATCCTAGCATGTAGTCGGGCCTGAGGGGAAGCTTTGATTGTCTGAGCATTAACATCCACATTAACTTATCCGCCTCATCACTCTCCCTGTTTGCCCCCCCCCCACCCCTCCCTCTTCTTTCTGTTTCTCTGCTGCCTGGCTCACCCCGATTCTTCCTCAGTCAACAAACTCTCACTCCCCTTATTTCCTATCTCCTTCCCTATCTCCAGGCAACGACGGAGCAGAGTGATGGAGATGAGTCACATGGTGCTGTTTTTTAGTGGCGTGGTGGCAGCCTGTCCTGGGTCCTTTCCTCAGTGACAGTCGCTCGAGCTGTCTGGGAGCTTCTTGCCTTTTCCCTGGCCTGGCTGGCCCAGCTCAGCCTGTCAGCCTCCATGATGATCACTGGCTGACAGTACAACCTGCTTGGTGCTGTCAGGCCGACTCACATCGGCCTCTTAAGCAGCTCGCCACACTGCCTTTTGAAGTCCTGACCGAGTCCTTCATGTGTTAGTAGGGCTGCAGGGTGGAGCCTGTGTGTATGACGAGTTTGGTTTGAGTGTCAAGGTGTTGGGTGCTGTTACATGACTTTGGGAGGGGAGAAATACCCAATGCTGTGACAGATTATTTGTTTCACTCGGCATACACTACAGGCTGCACTTGTAAACCTGGATATGGTTACTGACTGGGGGATGTGCATAAAGCTGTGTTCATTTATAAAAAATATTTTGGAGTACACATGCGGATGTAGAAAATGTGTAATGGAAGTGCTCATGCACACTCACTCTATACTTGTCCCTTTCGCCGGGCTGTGTTTGTGGGTCTGTTTGAAAGAGAGCCAGACATAAGAGGGTGCGTGGGTGTGTGTGTTTCCACCTGTTACATAATAAGAGAGTGGAGGCACAGTGTGCTCCCTTGCCTGCCACACTACAGCGGCTCTTCAGTGGGAGTGAGAGAGGCCACAGCTTGCCTCAGCTCCATTCCACAACCAGGACTGCGTTTGGTTACGACACTCAAAACGCCACATTACAACACTGAGAGACACAGAAAGAGTGATGTTGGAGGTTATGTCAATTAGAAGGTGTCTGATGTTGGAGAAGTAGTGTGACTGAGTGGACAACGAGTAGAGTTTGGACTAAAATGGATGAACAACAATCCGCTGAACTTTAGGGTTAATGGTATTGTCTGTTGATTATTCAGGAGTTGAACTGAATGAAAGTAGAGAGGAAAGTATTTAAAGAAGCAGTTTTGAAACCGTGCAGTGTATTATTCTCTGAGGCCATGTGGGTCTGTTGATTGTTTTTTCTTTTGTTATTGATTTAAAGTGAAATATGACTGCAAAATTATGGAAAAGTTTGTAGATCAGCCAGCACAGTGTTACTGATACTGCACCACATGGGGCTTTCACTCCCACTTGGGCTGCTGATACTAACATGCATAGTTAAGATTATAATTAAGTATTTTGAATAGTTAAAACATACACTATTTACATACTAGAAAACCATCAAACTGAAGTCAGATTTAGATTGGATCTTGGTAAGGTACTACATCTGCTGTGTGAACACAAATTAATGCAAATCAGGCTTGTGTGACTGCACACATGCAGGATGTCCTTCGATTCACCCCTGTTGTCTTATTTAAGTAGTTAGCAATAATTAAACTCACATTGTTCTCAAATATCATAATGCATCTGGCAATATTTGTCATAGATTTTTAATATAACTTAATGGCTAAGAATCAGAATCAAGTTTAGAATCAAGTTTATTGCCAGGCAAGTTTACACACAAATAATCTGGTGGTGCAAATAAAAAAAATCTAAGAAAATACGTTTAGATGCTCTTCTCTTGTAAAAGAGCACAATATACAACACAAAACAGAGATAACAACACTGAGGAAGCCATCTTCAAATCCATCTTCAAAGCCATCTTCCTTCCTTAAGATAAAAGCACAATACGTTTTGTTCAGAGATTCACAATTCTCAAGTCTGTAACCAACAAAGATGACACAGCGCCCCTGTTTGAGTTCAAGTGTGTGTCAAAGTGTGAGTGTCACCGATAACATTTTATTAATTGATTGGCCATATTGATTACAGTATGCACCCTTTCATTAAGACTGGTTGCAGTTAGTGCTTTAATTTTCAAACGTTTCAGTCTGCTTTGAAAAAAAGTGATGTGAGTTGGTTGTGACACTCAGCGCTGCGCACATTCCCCCTCTCCCCTTGAATGAAACAGAGGCTGCAGCTCTCCTGCGCTCCCTCTCCTCCTCACCTGGACTTCGCACACCTCACTCCCGTCTTCTTTCTAACATTACAATGGCCCTTTCTATTGGTTTTACTTTTACTCTGTTTGCTCTCCACTGCAGCAATGACAACTGATTTATGCAAATTATTGAGATGATTTGCATGGGAAATACACGAAGGCATTTCCCCCAAACGGCTGTTTTTACTTATTCTTCTCATAAACAACATTGAAATGACTTGTCTGGAAGCATATTTTAAACTTTGCTTTTGGGATTCCACCAAGATTTTGGAGAAAAGTGCGTTTAATCCAGAAGTTTTCGTCTGTTCCCCCATTCGTGCGTAAATCTCATCTCTCCATCGCGGCTCATCATTAGGATACCGGGGGTGGGGCGACAGCAGCCTGTCCCGGTAAGGGGAGGAGAGAACAGGGAGGAGAGGCGGTACTTTCTCCGCGGCTCGTTTCTCGGCGCCGGAGAGTGTGGGACCAGGGCTGGAGAGACCGCCGGGGAGCATCAGCAGAACCAGTCCAGCACGGAGCCTTGCCTGGACGACCCCTGCGCCGTGCACTCTTCTCGGGGGACTGCACAACATTCCTGTGAAATATAACTGCTTTTAATGGCATGTGGCTTGTAACTTTACTTCTGCTGTATTCTTTGCAAGAAGGTAGGTTGGCAACATGTCTTTTTAAGTGTTTCTTATCTGCATGCTGTCTCCTCCACAGTGAAGCTGAAGTTGGCTGTGCATGTTTATTAGCTTGTCATGTTGAAAAAGGACGTTTGATCGGATTGATTGGCATCACAAAAGAAAGGCAGAAATGACAAATACAACTCTGAATCACCTTCTGAAGAAGAATGTTAACTTTTTCTTTATGTTTTGAAGTGATGTTGTCCTGATCTGCCTGAATTTTCCTCCTAAACGAGTGCTCAGATTGTCTTGCGTTCTCCATGCCTCATAATGATCAGCTGATAATATGATTAAAAGCGATCACAAAGGGGATCATGAGCTTAAAATCAATATGCACTTAATTTGGACGAACAGTGATAAAAACCGATCTAAAAAGTGTACACTGCGTTTGTCAAGAGGAAAAAGACAACGGCATTTGCATTTTGCATAATGAATATGTGGAGGTGTCGTGAATATGGAGGCTGTTGAATAGGAGAGGCTGATAAGGATCTGCAGGCGCGCGCACGGGTATACGGGCGACCTCGAGCGTTGATATTGGACACAGCTGTAGGGTGTTTACTCGCAAAAGTCCAAGAGGGCAGAGGAGTTTAATGTATTTGCTGACTTTTCTGCCCTGTCCTGTCACAAATAAGATGTTGCTGTTTGTTTGTGTGTGTGTGCGTGCACGCGCTCGTGGGGAGGAAGATAGAGGAGGGGTCCCTAGGGGTTAACGCATCCTTTTTATCAGCTATTTTCCCTAAAGGAACACTGAAACAGAGCATTAACATCAGTTTGTGTGTGTAGCTGTGTGGCAACAAGGGTCAATACATTTTATGAGAGACGTGTGAACTGATGCTGGGGGTATTGAGCGCATGGCCTTTAATTTCTAGATAATGTGCCCCAGTTGGATATTTAAAAGACGAGGCAATATATCGTAGTTTGTTTTCTTTGATCAGATGTAGAAGTGTCAGTGTATCCAGACTCAGTTGTTATCATCCCTGGTCTAATTATTCATCCACCATTTTCTGTGGCACCAGATTCCACTGATTGGCTTCGCTCTAAATACTGCAGATGGAAGAGAATGACTCAGGTTGCTCTTTAAATATACAGTGATCTGCTCTTTTTGTTATTTATGAATATATATAAATAACACCCACAATTTAGAGAAACAATATTTTGTATTTTCCTTAACATTTCATCGTTTTTTTTATACGCACAGTTCTGTAACTGAATATGCCTCATTGTAAACCTTATTAGTTGACACATTTGAAATCATCTTTAGCATTTGTTTATAATTGTGGGCAGCACGCGTGTGTCATGGTCCTGGTCTCATTGGCCTTGGCAGTGCCCTCTGTCAGGCTGCAGCGAGGACTTTTGTGTTGTTTTTGTTGTATGTAATTGGATTACAGGGTCTATTTCGATTATACACACTGTACATCGCCCTGTCCCGTGACTGAACGAGATGTAGTGTGTGTGTGCGTGTGTGGTGAGGGGAGGAGGGTTGGGGGCTGCAAACAGCCACTGGAGCGGAAAGAGTGCTTGAGATGGGAGAGATGTAGATAACGCAGTGGAAAACAAACTTCCATTTTCCGTTGTTTTTCAACGCCATGTTCCGCTCATTTTGCACGATTCGACTGTGGTGTATGTATTCATGTGGCTGCTGTGTATTTTAGAGATGTATCATTTTTAATTAACTTTATTTTGAAATGCAAAGGTAGGTCTATTATCATACATGCATATGCATTAGTACTGCGTATTTTCTCACTCGGCCGCGCCTCCTAGAATGGCACACAACTCTGCTTATTTTTCACACCAGTATGAAGATATATTTCAGATCACCCCACTAGATCATTTTAAAGATTTAGTAGCCTACTCTTTTTTTAAATCTTTTTTTTCTGTCATTAATTCGTGAACATTAGATTCTTACTGACTGCCTTTGCTTTGGTTTGTCTGAATATCAGCACACCTGCACCCATGAGTGCGGAGAGGAGTAGGAGAGGGGTAGAGAGATAGAGGAGGGGGGAGGATACAATCATTCTTCTTTGTCATGATTTGGGATGTTGCTTGTCATTTTATGGAAATACAATTGAGACAAACTCAGCTGAGGGATGTGTGGGAATCTACTCTCAGGCCTGATAGGCCAGGAGAGGGCCTTAGAAGTTGGAAAGGCTAAACATAATTATTACAATTAACATATTTCTAAATCAGTAAGAAACAACGATAGTCGTTTTGGTGTGGAATTTGGGAGATTCAACCCGTAATTGTACAGATTTTAAGGAGAAATGCAATGAAGTGAGAGCTCTGGCTATAATTATTTCATCAATTAATGTGATTCCGGTTTTATCCAGTTTCAGTCGACAGGCCTCCTGCAACACACACTCCACATTCAACTGAACATGTTACAGTGTTCCTGCAGAGGTGTAAAACACTGCCTCATATTTTGGGTCTGCATTTGATTAAAATGTTTTGAATTTCATGGACTAAACGTCGTGTGCACCCTCTGTTATATTTGTTTAGACCCGTAATGCGTGAGTATAGTATTAAGCAATATGATAAGATGATATGTTTTCATGTGTGCTATTGTGTCTGCACATTTAAAAAAAAAAATATTTCAGAAGGATTTCACCAAAGTTTAAAATGTATTTACAAGGGGCTCTTGTGTATTATTGAGACCGGCCTGAGCAGCCGAGTTGCGGCGTGGCAGACCGCGGGCTGTGTGTACATTTGGAATCAAAACAGTTACAGACTGGGAGAAATGCTTGGAGGGGGAGCCCGATAATTGCGGTATGAGTCAGACTCTGGTGGCTAAAGGCTACAGCAGAGATGTCGCGTCAGGATTGGACAACTGAGGCTGTATCAAGTGATGGAAGAAACAACTTCAGAGTGTTATCCCAACTCCGCGCATATATGTTTTGTGATATCAAGCATAATATCAGGGTGATTTTGTTTAGGAATTGTGCTATGTGATAAAGTTCAAGTTTCCCTGGTTTTGTCTATTTGATGGAAAGGAAAAGAGGTAGATACATGGTCAGAACTTGGAAGGTATTCTGTGTAACAGAGTCGTGAGGACTGCAGAACTATAAAGACCTGCGTGTAAAGTTCACACATTCAGATCAAAACTGTAATGTGGATGAAGTACTAACAATTTATCCATGAAGCATTATATGCTCGATCATTTACGAAAAATGTCACAATAATTGAAACTTTAAATGGATCTATGTGCTATTTCTCCGGCTCGGAGTCCCCCCGTGCCTGCACCACCTGTTCGTTTTCTTGGATAGAGAGACAGCTCCACAGTATAATAGCTACATGTCACTCGCAGGTTAACTCGCCCCCCTCGTTGTGCTCCGGCGAGCAAAGCCTGTTTTCATTGTTAAGTGTTAGCGCTCTGCGTTTAGTTGACCAGTGCAGCACAAACATATTCATCTGTAGCCTACACGTCTGAAGATTTGTGTTCGTCTTGAAACACACACCTCGACCAATCGTGAGATGATCGTTTCGGTTGTCTTAACTGCGCTAAAAAACACTTTTTCTTAAAACGGAACGTTCTTTAAATTGATTTCGGGATGTTTTTCTTTCGCTTAAGAAAAATAGGATTTGAAAAGGACTTGGTAAGAGGGATAATCGGGCTTTTAGCATTTGTCACGCACTACTCAAACAAAAACAATCCCAACGTTCCCAAATATCTGACTGTTTATCATCACACAGTTGTATATTTTAAAGCCCATAGCAACAACATCATTATTGCACTAAGCTGTCACACAGAGAAGTGGATTTTGACCGCCCACTCAACAGGTTTTACGCACAACACTAGTGTCCGGTAGCCTGGTGCCCTCTCCATTACGCACGTAGAAAGAGTGATGTCGTGAATGACAAAATAATCCAACGATCACCTTTGACATCTCAAAATCGCCTCTGTTTTTCACTCTTTTTCTCCTTCTCTGCTATTCTGCTTACTATCAAACAATTTGTTGGCCCCGTCTCTGAGGGAGAATAGAAAAAAACACATCTCTACAAATCTGACACTCACTTCAACAACGGAAATCATCCTTTTGATGTAGGAGATGTGAATTTCCAAATACTGAAATGGCTGCCTAATATTTTACTGACACTGCATAAACTGTGTGTATGAGTTGTTTACCACCCCCACCAACGTCCCCTATATGTGTGCACGTATCCACATTTCTAATCCGCCATGCAGTTTTTCTTTCTTGACTACAGCATTTCTGCCAGTGAAATGAGACTGTTAGAAATGATTTTCTTTCTGACTTCATACAAAGGCAGAGAGACGCATTGTCATGCAACCCTAATATCTCAATCTGGAGTCATTGTATAAATGAGCAGCACTCTCTATCGAATATGATCATATCTTTTGCCTTTTATGTTCTGCCATTTTCAGTAGCATCACTGCAAATACTGCATTCCCACTGACTTCTATGCTTCTGTGTTATTTAGCATGAATATGTTTTGTGTGCGGTTATCTGAAGTACATGGTTCACCACATAGAAAATCGACTTGCTATTATGAACATGTATATGCAATCTGAAATGCATTTATGTGACTTTGTGTGTATGCATCTGTGTGTGTTTGTGTGTTTTGAAGGAGAGAAAGAGAGAGAAGGATAGGGATTTATAGCCCTGTTTTTCTATGCACGTGATGGTATGAATCTCTGTGTGTGTCTGAATGAATGTAGATGAGACAGAAAAAGCTGCATTATGCATAGCGGTTCACCATAGGCAATATCCTTGCTTCTCCAGCATACATATTCATACTCCATTTTCATATCCACTGCAAAAACAGGAAGAAAAAGTGCAAATGTATTTGAGTGTAAAGCAAGGAAAGATTTGAGACAAAAGGGAACACTGACAAAAATAAAAACAGAACAAAATCAATATATTTAGAAAAAGAGTGTGAGAGGTTGAGCCGACACACAATATATTTCTGGGGTTTTCACCCTAAATCACTTTGACCTTCTTTATTGTAATCAGTGTGCCCAGGCTTGAAGAAGGAAATCAAAATACAGGTTAGGATCGGATGAGTGCTGCTCCTTTGCTCCTTCTTTCTCTTCTGGGGATGGGGTGGAAAGTGAGCCCGTGGCTATGAAAGGACTCTGATAACCATCTGAGGTTAGATGTTGCCGAAATAAAGAGGATAAACTAGGTTATTGTGCCTCATGTTATATGCATGAGATATTAACAGTTGATTATTGATAACATTGTTTTTTTTTGTTTTCCTGTGGTCATCTTTAATGTATTCCAATTTGATTCTCTGTTGGATAAATGTATTTATGTTCATAATCATGCTACTTGATGCAGCCTACTGCATTTTTGAAAATAATGCCAATGATTGCTGTCCCATTTGTGTTCCTCAACTGGCGGATATACTGAAGAGGGAAAGGCTCCAGGGATAAGAATATAACAAAATAAGAATTACACTATTGTCCAACAACAAATTTAAGCTCTTCCATGTGTATATCACATCAAATATGACCCACAGCTGCATCCTGGGAACTTCTAAAGACAACATATGGACAGATTTGAGGCAGATGCCTAAGTTTCTTGAAAATTCTTTGACACTCTCATACTTTTTTATGTTTTGAAATCAAACCATGACTGCCGTATGATGACACGTGGTCGACATCATCAGCTCACTTCCGTGTGGTTATACACACATGTCTTTGCGTGCATGTGTGTGTGTGTGTGTGTGTGTGTGTGAGAATTCAGTGACCTGAATTCCAACCATAGGACAAAGCGATTAGCCATCGCATCATAAGCTGCATGCTTTTTAGAGGTTTTTTCTCTGACTTTTAGTTGGTGCATCCAAGCTGTTTTGAATTCATATTAAGGTTTTCAGTTTATTTGATTTCAATAGATTATCCCATTTTAGGGATTATTAGGAATAAGCAGTAGTTTTCCAACTTGGGAATTAGGACCCCTTTTCAGGCAATTGGTCACAAGCTGTTGAAAATGGCTAGTATAGACATTGCTTTCTTTTAGGGGGTTAAAAGCCAAATGTTTGGGAGCCTCTATTAATAAGCAGTGATTCCCTACTGAGGAAACGTTTGCCCTAAAGAGGGTACTTATATAGTTACCAGAGAGTACCTGGATATATTGTGGAATGGCTCAGAGAAACAAAAAACAAAATAGAGATTATGATTCGACAAAAGAAAGAAACGTGAATCCACTTCTGCTCTGATGCTTATCTTAAACCAGTAATTGTTAAGCTTCAACAAGCTGACTTCATTCCTGGACACCGAGTTTTGGATTTAAAAAAGCCGGCAACAATCGAAGAATGGACATAAATTGTTGACACAACCAGCTGCTGCCATACCATGTAGTAGCATGAATGCATTTACACTTGACCAAGTGATACAGGATACCTTTTTGGCTGCATTAAACAAAACATTTGGTTGGAAAATCTGTGATCTGAACACAAGATCCTTTCCAGTTTCTTTCATAAGGACTTTTACAGCGAGAGAGTACATCGTTTTTGACATGAAAAGATTTTCCTTGTAAAAATAGCATTTGCCATCAGAGAAATGCAGGTCACTGTCACTGGTATCATCTTCTAATAGCTTCCTGCTTATTTGGGCTGCTGGGTTCCTCACCCAGCAGCACATTGTGGTGCTGAACATGCAGATCACTCATCCTAGCAGCCTGTGAGAGTGATTGACATGGATTCGAAAGGTAGGATGGATTGAACTTGACCTGAATTCAGATTTTTGAACACAGAGGATCTGCTCCAATTTGAGCTGGTAGGCAGGAGAACAACGACTCTCTACCTTTTCGGCATCTTCGCTGTGCTTTAAGTCGCGATCACATGTTTTTGCTGTGCCACTCAGCATCTGCTGTTGGCTGAGTTTGACATCAAGAACTGAGGCAGTCATTCAACATTAACCTCTCTATACCTTTGACCTTACAGCACAAAGAGATACATGCCCCATTGCATCCGAACACCTTTGCACCTGAGCACCTTTCCCCCCCGACCAGCCACCCGTGCCTTGTCTACAATATCGCACTCCGGCCTGGCTCCCTGATCTCCCCTTCCGCTGCACACCCACACACACATGAGAACCAGGGAAGTCAGACACGGCCTCCCACGGCAGTGCGATTACAGAGTGGATAGACTTTGTGTGTGTTAAATGTGAAAGGAGATTATGTGGGTTTAACTCTCTGCGTCTGGCATACAAATTCCAATCGCATAACATTGCCTGTCTCTTGTGTGGCAGAAAAAGACGGGAGGCAGTGTCTTCAAGGGGTTAGGGTGAAATAATGATGGCAGATTGGAAACGCAAACTCAGAAGACAAAAATGAGAAGATGGAAAGATTCAGACCAATGCATAAAGTATCAAAGAACAGACAATAGAAGACAAGAAAAATCCCCGTGTCAATTGAGATTTTTATCCCTAATCCCTGCATTTTACTTTTGAGCCTTTCCTCATGTGATTCATCCTATTCATTCCATGTTATTAATGTCATTATGTCCTTGAATGTTCCTATTTATACTGAACAGAACAGATATAGAAATTGTCTTTTGATATCAGCCATTCATCCATGTTTTTGAGATGTATTAGGAGCTTAAAGAGACAGCCAGTGGGCTTCTGTTCCTTATTTGATAGCTATTATGTCCATTGATGTAGAGGATCTGTAGAAATTAGAGCCTAAATGACATCTGATAGTGTCTTAATATCTTCATTGATGTATCTAAGCCAACATCCTATTTTCTCCCAGAGCATAGAGAATTAAAGAGATAGGGTTAATCCAGGCATTGTTGACACAATCCAGGAAAAGGGATTAATGAAGTATCATTGTTTGAGAAGAAACTTCTCTGGCCCGGGCCACAGCGGTTTTCTATTGGCCTCTAGCCAAGCTAAGCTCAGCACATCTTACAGGGCCTCACACCCCCAGCACAGCAAACACATATACAGAAACACACAGATCTGAAAAGATGACTACCCCACTCTCAACTGGAAGAGGGCATTTTAAGAGCGAGGATATATGGTGGTCTGTCTCCCCTAGGACAGGATCTGGCTGTAGCTCTTCATCTGTGCCACGATAACAATGTTTTACAGCAAACATCTGCGGTATCCAGCTCCTCAGGCTTGTTCGGCTTTAGATGGAGAACTACATTCAGTGGATATGACAGCCTTTGCTATCAAGCAAGTGTAAATTCTTTGTTTCCCTGAATAACGGAGGATGTCAACAGAACAGATACGTTTGGTTGAGGAGTTATGTGACCCGATTTTCTCTGATATTGAGAGGCAGATTTCCAAAGGGCTCTCTGGATACACATATTAGATCAAAGATACTAGGATAATGCATAATGGGATGAGATGGATTTCTGCAGTTTGGCACACAGGGAGGAAGTTGTTTGGGTGGAGGTGACCTGAATGCCCGTAGATCAAACGTATATACTTAATGAGTTTGCCTGTGAGAGTTTGAGTTATATCAGGAGGTATTTTTTTGTGAGATTTGAGACTTGCCCAGTTCAAAATATCCATTTTCCAGTGAATGTCACTAATATATTGTCAATTGCTCCCTTGAACTCACTGCTAAAATAACAATACAGTAAAGAAAATACCCTAAATTCAGTTTGTTTCGTTATTTTTCAAATTGTCAGTTGCTTCCCAGATGTTTTATTAAACAATCTTACATTTACTGACAAAGTAAAGTACCAATTTTGATGAAATGCTTTTTAATTAGAGGGGAGTTCAGCATATTTGGTGTAAAACGTACTGTACTGTTATAAAGTCATCATTTGTATTGTTAAAAACTTTTTGTCATTGAGTTAGTTGGCTGATTTCCTGATCTCATACCGTACAACTTACCTTAACACTTACCTTACTAGTCAGCCAGTTTAACATACATTTAGAAAATAAATACTCAACATTGTTGTATCATACATCTGCAAAGCACTCGTTTAAGTAAATAATTACTGCAATTGTGACTGTTAACATTTGTATACCTACATTGTGATGTTTCATCCTTGTAAATATGGCTGGTTGAGTGCTACAGTATATGTTCTTTGATTATTTTTGTACTTGGAAAATAGTTATGGGTTTTGTGTTATTGTACTCCGTAATCATTTTAAGGACATAGTCTCATATGTGAATGTTGCCTGTATGTCTTACACCAACTGACTGTCTCCCTTTCTCTCATCCCAACAGTCAACAGTGAGGATGTTGTCTCTACGCGGCTGTACTTTGTGAACGCCTCCCTGCAGCGGGTGACCTTCTCCAGCTCGGTGGGGGTGTCCCTGCCCTGCCCTGCGGGCGGCGCCCCCCATGCTGTCCTGCGCTGGTACCTGGCTGCCGGAGACGACATTTACGACGTGCCCCATATCCGCCACGTGCACGCCAACGGCACCCTCCAGCTCTACCCATTCTCCCCCTCCGCCTATAACAGCATTATCCATGACAACGAGTATTTCTGCACTGCTGAGAACCAAGCCGGCAAGATTCGTAGCCCAAGCATCCACATCAAAGCAGGTGAGGGGTGAAAACAATAGATGCAAACTAAGCCAATGATGCAAAATAGTTTATGTCTGCACATGCTTTCTAAAGGTATTTTGAACTGACATTTCCCTAATTAAGCTTTTGGATGTCTATTGAATGAACTATAACTTCCCTCAAACTGCAAAGACAGACCTGGGAACTCTCTGTCAAAGTGTACTGGAACTGGAAAGTGGCCCTTTCAGCCTGGAAATTAACCAGAGCAAGGTGCAACAATAGTTTGGCACAGCTCTATGCTAACCTTCTGTAGCTCAGTAGCCTCTACATCTCGCTTGCTAACACTATTAAGGGTTACATGTTAGTATACCCTTCTAAATCACTATCTTTAGTTGGATCAGAATCTACATTTTTCAATCAATATCCGACAAAATTGTCAATAATTTATGCCGTGCTGGTGGCTCCTGATGGACACATGCTGTGATATAATTTAGTTTGGACTTTCATTAAAAAGGGTGACTCACAAGAGACAAATCAAAATAAGAGACATCTGCAGCTCAGATATCCTGATTATTATTCCCTTGTATCAATCATGCTTTTAAAGTGGTGGATAGCACAATTCCCATAATGCAATTGAATATTGTCTTTTATTAAATCATCCCTACCTGGTAAAAAAAGCCCACATCTTTTAAACCCCACAGCTCCAGTTTGTAACACAGTCTTTCTGTTAAAAAGTTTAATTCTCAAGCTCAATCTGAAATAACCCGGACCCCTTCAAGAGAAGGTATAGGTTATCTTTTTGGCAATTCCCAAATACATCACTTTGCTAAATTATTATAATAGTAGATAATAATAGAGCACTTTACTTTGATGCACGTGTTGTGTCATTGAAATCGTCATGACAGCATTACCTAGTTACTGTCCGGCATTTGAAAATATGGTCACCTTAACGGCAGTCATATTAGCATCTTCAACCAACAACTTCTCTCAGTGGGGGGGAAGTTTCTCAAACTGCGGCATCTTGACCCTTTGTATTAAAAATCCACTAGAAGACACACAAGCAGCTACAAAGACAGTTGGTTTGTTGACCTGTCCGCACTCCCTGCCAAGGTCAAAGCTGGAGAGAGGCGCTGAACACACTGAGGGAAGATGTTGCTGCTGCTTCTCACACTTATCACGCACACACATAAACATTATGAACACATGCATATGACCTAATGTGGTACACACGGCATACACGTGTATACAACAGACGAGCATGCATGTTTGGTCACACGCATATGCACGTGCACGCACCCACTCAGACTCACACACTTACATGCACACCAGCCTGTGTGTAGCCCATGCCAGCAAGCCTCCTGTCTCCCAGTCTCTCCATCTGTCCATGGACTGGAAGTCCCCTAACTACACGCACACACACATGCACACACAGACACACAAATGCACACACACACACGCCATTTTCGTCAAGCTGGCTCTTGGTGTTTAGTTGCCAGCTCTTTGTCAGGGTGTTTGGCAGGAAGGATTTTTGGAGAGTCAGCTACAGACATGGAAAGATGTGAACAGAACCATGAAAAAAAAGTGGATTTTCAGGTCATGGTAATAGCCAGGCAGACATTTTGACTGTGTTGATCAATCCTGCATGAAGAGACAGTCAGCAGTTCCCTACCCCACACATGGATACGAGAAAATAAATTCTCCAAAATGCTGCCGGATTGTCTCCCTCACCACACAAACACAGACACACGCACACGCACATTCTCTCTCTACACACACACCCATATAGCCTGTGTGGTCCCTAGAGGAGGACAGTCCCTCCAGCGTGAGAGTGACCTTCTAGCCAGCCTCGGTGTTCGGATGACCTTCCTGCCCAAATAATTACAACAATTAATCAATTAAATGCTGAGGCAATCACAACTCCACAGCTCCATAACCAGGGCTCACGTGCATGTGTGTGCACCTCATTACCTCCAGAGTCCTACGCAACACACACATGCTCACGTGCATGCTCACACACATACACAACACTGCAGTTGCCATGGGCGACAGAGGCGTGAGCGCCAGGGTGTGGCATTCCCTGTCTCAGGTGGCGCAGGAGAATGATGGCAGCTGACAGCACGCAGTGTGACACCCCCCCAAAAAATCTGCCCCACCCCCACTCCTCCTTGCTATCCGTCTCGTCCTTCCTTCTCTTCACATCTTCAAATCTCTCTCCATCCCTCCCCCTCTTTCTCACCCTTTCCCATGCATGCTGATTGTGGGCCAATAATAGCACTAGCACCTGTCTGGAAATCTCTGCATTTATGAAAATCACTATGTGGTCTCCTTGTTTTCCCGTACTCTTTTTTCCCGTACTCTGTGTCATTTGGGCTAATCTGTATTTTTAAAGTTTTGATAGACAGCTCACACATTTTGATTAATAAATGAAATTAGGACATAATGTTATTTTATATGATATTAATATTATACAATTTGTATGGGCATCCCGATCATGGTCTTTGAACCGGACTCATTCTCATACCGTACCAGCGTGTTAGCAGATTTTATCTATTTTTCTTTTAGATTTTTAAACCACTACAAATATTGATGTTTCAAATATTACTGTTAAATACATACGAGGAATAATTTCTTAAAAAATAAACGTGTTGTTAGTTTTACCTTTATGTGACTGTAATGATCTGTGGAGGTTGTGACTTCTACCAGTTTTGAAACTGTCAAAGTTTACACATCATCCTCAACTATTCTCCCTTCAGAAGGATAATGATGTCTATCGGTTTAGTCTCCTAAAAGATTTGCAGTTTATAAACTGAGTATTTTGAAGGAAAAAAAGCGGTGAAAAATCAATTTCACATTGACAAAAAAATCTGTATTAGGCCATTTTTGTGAATTGGATTGTAAGCCTTCCAGCTCTCTGTGTGTTTGTAAAACATTCATCAGCATCTATAAGGCCTTTCTCTATTTAAAGGATCCCATCACCTTTCACATCTGAGCATCTTTTCCAAATGCATTTCTTCACATCCATCTTTAGGGATACACATTATGTCAGAAGTGCTATAAGAGTCTGAGGATTTCAAAGCCCTGTGCACCCAAGTCCTCTTTACTCAAAGTTAATACAAGAAAATTGAGGACACTTGTTCAATGAGCTCACCTCAGCTCCCCTTTGTTCCCAGCATGACACCCAAACCAATGTAGGCCCGGGCCAAGACAGCAGGTGTTTAGATCGCTCTCCTCCATCTGCCCTCCTCATCGTATCTCTGGCTGACATTTCCTTACTAATACTATAAGAAGGGTCCCTGAACCTGATACACAAGGTCTGCTTTTCTTATGCTATCCATTTAATAATGAAACCAGCATCCTTTCATTCCCCTTGTATGTCATTATTTTTTTCTCTTTCTCCTTCTCTGTGTTTTTGCTGCTCGCTTTATGAATAAGTAAATGCAGTATTTGGTTTCCCCGTCGTTAATTATTGAAGCGACAGTGATACAAGACTTGCTTCCCAGTGCGCCCAGTGCACCAGACCCGTGTTTTAGCTCGTTCCTAGGCAACCAGGCTGCATATAGTCAGGCATCAGTAACATCCTAATGATTCTGCTGCGCATGCGATGAGGGGGAGTGCAATTTACACACAAATCAGTTGGGCTACCATTTACATCCTGTCACAAGGCTGAAGATAATGAATATGTAATGTTTTTCTATCCTCTCTGTCTTTCATATCTTGGAGGAGGAACGTGTGTTAAATGAAAATGCTATCAGAACATTTGCCTCTTATTGGAGCTGGTTGCCATCCAGGGCTTATTTGGCTTGTTTGAATTAGGAGAAGTGTGGTCGGACAACACTTTTATTAGAGGTTAACAAGTGTAGAAAAAGCTGGGGTCAAAGCACAGGAAGAACAAACCTGAAGTGACCTTGACTGGATTTGAACCTCACTAAATTGGCATGTGCTTTCTGTCATCATTGCAACAATCCTTTACTAGCTGTCAGACTGGTTTTAAACACTCTATGAGAGGCACAGTGGGCATTTGGGATTTCCCCAGATATTGACAAGAGGCAGCAGGGTCAATCAGAGAGTAAATAAATGATTGAAAGAATTGTCTGGGCCACAATAGCTGGAGCTACTCAGTCGATCCTGGATATTGATCTGTAGGTAGATCACATCAATGAGAAGCAGGGGCTGTTTGAATGAATAATTGAAATGAGGACTTGATTGGAATTATTTGTCCTTTAGCTTTGACTTGTTTACAAATGAGGCTTCAGCTCACATTAGTGTCCCGAGTGTGAGGTGGCCATAGTGAGAAGTGATATGCTCTCCAGTCTCCAGAGGACAACTTACTTCAACCATTAATTTAGTTGAGGCACAAAGTATCATCAGTAACACCACAATTGGTGTTCGAAAGACCCAGAATCCAATGTTATAACCCTCATTTATGTTTGGCATTGTTACACATAGTATATAATGCAAGGTTACATTTTAAATGCTACTAAAAGAATAGTCCCTGCTTTACTCCAGTGTACTCATAGCCCGTCATAAGTCGTCAAAGAAGAAATAAAGGGTCCAAGGTTCAGCCAATTAGGAAAAAGTAGAACAGTGTAAAAGCAATGGATGGAATCAGACAAAGACTTGGGAAATTAAACCTAGGACCTAAGGTGAAAGACTCCCCACCATTTGGACAAGGACATCGGCTTTGGTTCCACTGGGTTCCAGTGACAATGGCGGCTGGCATAAAGCATTATTAATGACCAAGAAAACTGGCCTTCGGGCTAGGCGTTAATTATATCACTGGAGAGCTGGGGGAGAGAGCGAAAACACGGGAGGGCGGGGCAACTCCCTGTGTTGTGTGTGTGTGTGTGTGTGTGTGTTTTACATTGTTAAACCATTACTGTCCTCATTTCCAACGGAAGCATGGTTGAATAGCAGTGTTAGATTGTGATGCCAGAAACACTCCCCAACATCAGCCATTCTGATACCCCATCTGATTTCTGTAATTTTTCTTTCATCCTTCTCATGTCATGTAGCCTGTTTTTTGTTAAAGTGACGACAATGTGGCAATGCCCCTTAATACAAATTCACAGGCCCGTGTTCATTGAGTCAAGCTAGCATGCCCTTGAACTACCCGTCTCTCCTGGTAACCCAAATAATCAATTATTTAATTTCGCTTTACTTAATTTATTTAATGAAAATGTATGCTCTGATTCAGCATTTTGCTTTTCTCACTTATCTTAATGTGACGGAGTTAACTGGAGAGATAATTTGGTTAGCTACAGGCTACTGTTTTCATCATTAAGCCTGTCTTAATCACCACCATCCTTTCTGTACACTGACACAGACTCACAGTCTAGTGCTCTGCATGCCATGTGCAGGGTGTATGTTTTTGATGCCTTGCGCCTGCATGTGACAGGACCATCGGCCATGAGCAACCCTCCACTCCTCGCCGTCGCATAGCATCTGTGGCGTTGTACTTTAAAAGGCCAAGGGCCACTCACTGTGTATCCCCCTCAAAGCAGCTCTGTGTCAACCCTCCTTACAATCATAGTGTGACTTAGAATCTGGGGCTAGGGAGGGAGATGCTTGCTTAATGGGGTTGAAGAGGACACCAGGCAAGTTTGTTTACAAGACCTGCCCCGGCTTTTACTAAGGGTTAAACGGGACAAGAGGATGTCAGTTGTACAGTGTGAAAATGAAAGAGGCTTTTACAGTATAACAATTGGTTGATGTATCAATCTACTAATTTATAGGAAAATAATGAATGAATGGAATAATTCAAAATAATGGATTATTCATTCATGTATTTATTAAACTAAATGTTTTGCTGTTCTCAGCGTCTTTAAGACACATCCAAGACATTTGGGAAAGATGTCACCTTGTGCTTTGGTCAATTGATTGCATTGGGAAAAAGTCATTGCTACCATTAATTTTTGCCGAAATGTAAGGTTGCAAAGTAACATCAACACCATCTTCCATTGATTTGTTTTCCTTAAGGCATAACATGCTGAACATTTTCTGGTTCCAGCTTTACAAATGTGTACATTCAATGAATTCTGGTGTTTTATATCATTAGCAATTGAAAACATTTGGGTTTTAGACTGTAGATCTGACAATGCAAGCAAGTTGATACATAATCTTGTGCTCTTGGAAATTGTGATGGACATTTTTAACTATTCTCCAAATTACTTGGAGCCCCATTTAATCAGAAACATACACTAAAACAGTTCTAACTCTTACAATCTTGTCAACAGTTAAAACCTTGTTCTCCCTTACTGTGACATACTCTCACCTCGACTAACTTCTGTTCTTTTATCCACACCTCAGTGTTCAGGGAGCCCTACACAGTGCGAGTGGCCGACGAGCGCTCCATGCGGGGCAATGTCGCCGTGTTCAAGTGCCTCATCCCCTCAGCAGTCCAGGAGTACGTCAGCGTGGTGTCCTGGGAGAAAGACACCGTCTCCATCGTCCCAGGTAGGAAATTCAGCCAATGGCAGTCATTAGTTTCAACAAAAACACACCAGGCCCCAAATAGTTAGTCTCGCTGAAATTTCACAGCAAACTCAATGCGTGTGACCACCTGAGTTATATTTGGCTTAGTGCGTGCTTGCAGTGTTTGATCAGGTGGTGGATAATAATGGAAAGCAAATTATCTCATGTCATCATAATATGTCAATGGACTGGAGAACATTTAGAGAACTCTTTAGAGAAATCTAAAAACTATTTTACACTGAATAAATCCCAGAACACATATACCTTGTTCTGTCAGACTTTCTATCAGATTGAATATAAGGAAAAACCAGCAAAGATGGAGGAACGTTTTTAAAAGCGTCAAATCATTTGGAAGTCTGATTATATGGCTTTTGCTTGGCAGAGCTCTGGACCCTCACTCAGGCAGTGTCTCATAGCTGTGTTGCAGAGATAAATCAGACATTAGTAGTCTTTTTTGTGCATGTGTTTGTGTGCATGAGTGTGTGTGTATGAGAGATCTAATTTGATGAGTGATGGATCTGTTTAGCTGCTCATCACAGTCACCCAAAAGAGAGCAGCCACACCTCTAGGGGTCTGCCTTGTCTGAAGCTGTTCTCTCTGCTTTGTCTGATCCTCTATTCAAATCATTCAATGTGTAATAAGGAATGATAACATGAGTTTGAAACTGGACCTTTTACATGCTGCTGTAGGTCGTGTCTATGTGTGCAGCGTGTGTGTGTGTGTGTGTGTGTGTGTGTGTGTGTGTGTGTGTGTGTGTGTGTGTGTGTGTGTGTGTGTGTGTGTGTGTGTGTGTGTGTGTGTGTGTGTGTGCAGGGTTGTGCGTTGCAGTGTTAACATTTGCTCCGTGGAGCATTTGCAAATTGCAGGGTGTCAGATGAGACTGTTTAGGTCAGATGATACGTATTGCTCCCTCTGCCCCTTATCTCACTCTCTGATACCGAGAACCCTTTTCATCCCTCTCAATAGTGTGTGAATAGAGGTGTGTGTTTGTGCGCCACTTGGTATGGCTCTGTCCTTCACACGGGAGCACTCATTGATCCAGCACAGCTGTAGCGTGTGTGTATGTGTGTGTGTGTGTGTTTGTGTGTATGTGTGTGTGGCCTGAGGGGGGTTTCCAGTCTGGATCGATAGAGCTTGCTGTTGGATTCCCTCTCTTGTCACGGATCCCTCAGTGTGATAGTGCTGAGAGCAGGCCAGTCAGTTTGATGGTAAAACATGCACATATGAACAAGTAAGAGCATGTGCGTGAACACACACACACACACACACACACACACACACACACACACACACACACACACACACACACACACACACACACACACACACACACACATACACATACACACACATACACACACACACACTCATATGACCAGCTTTCTGTGACTAAGCTGATCAGGACAAGTCATCCGTATGCTTGAAAAAAATGTAATATACAGAAAAACGCTCCATGAACATATGTTATATTTATATATATTAAAGAATGTCGTGATCAATAATTTTATGCAAAACATTTATTTGTCTCCATACATTTGAATTATTCTCTGGTGTTTGATGAATTAATCGAAAAAATAATCATTATGCTATTTCTTATAGAAATATCATCCTGCTGTAAAAAAACTGAACTCATTTAAATAAAAGAAAAAAAAAGATTTCAGGGTTTTTTTGTTTTGTATCTTCCACCTCCCCCCCCTCTCTATCTCTCTCACCAGGGCTGATGAATAGGTCTTATTAGTAACACAGTGCTCCTCTTCTTCTTCCCGTCCGTCTTTGGCTTGAAGCCTCCTCTCATCTCATCTCTTTCCCTCCCTGGTACAGACTGGTGGCCTGTTTCAGCATCATGACCACACACACACACACACACACACACACACACACACACACACACACACACACACACACACACACACACACACACACACACGCATGCACACACACACAGTGCATGTGTGCGCTCCTCTCACCCCACTACACTCCAACACACACCTCGTCCATCCATCCATCTACTCCATCTATCAGCTCCTGATGGCATGTACAGCTTTCTCTCTTTCGATAGCACTCGAGATGCTCTAGTGGTTTGCCATTTATTAGGGACAGTGTATGCCAAGGTATTGGCTTGACAGGATGACACATGTCACACAGACGGCTGTGTTGGTCAATAAAGCTGAGTTTGAATGGGCTTTGATGAAGAGGCAGGAGGGTGTTTGCTGACAGCTGGCCTCACTGCGAGACGACCCTGCCTGGGTGTCGTGTCAGTATTTGACAGCCAAATCTGTTTGCGTTGAGGCCCGTTCACGCAGCAATGCGGGGGGGAGTAGACGGATAGATAGAAAGATAGGCAGACAGTCAAACAGGGGAGGGCTTTGTGTGCAGACTGGCTTTCCTGGTTTTTACTCCCCTGTCATACCCCCCGCTATCTCTCTATCTAGCCATGTCTCTTGCTCTAATTGAAGGTTTGCCGGTGTTGCTGTTGGTTAGAAAATTAGCATTTGTTTGCTTGTCATTTAGGGAACTGAAAGAGGATGCTCTGTTGACGGATGTGTGTGTATGAAGGAACTTCATCTGTGTGTTTGTTTGTGTGTGTGTGTGTGTCTGTGTGTCACTTTGTCAGTATCCATCTCCTCCTCCAGTTGGAGCTTAAAACAGTGTGAGTTTTATCTGGTCACCATGGTAACGGATGCGAACCGGCGGGCGGAATGAGGAAGGTGTGAGGACGCATCGCTGCCTGATTTTTATTAGTGCATCACCACAGGCGCAGCTCTCTCTCTAACACACACACACACACACACACACACACACACACACACACACACACACACACACACACACACACACACACACACACACACACACACACACACACACACACACACACACACACACATGTACACTTTAGTGAGAGGTAGCCTAGATATACATGTCATCACTGTCAGGAGAATTTATATTTTTTCTCTCCAAATGCGGTGATTTAAACACTTTCCCTTCCATCTATCACTCTTTCTGGTTTATAGATGGGCCTGTTTATTAATAACAAGAGCAAAGCAAAACATTAACTGGCCAACCTTTGGCAAATATCCTCTTATTGCAGATAAATCAATATGTGTGTATATGTCAATGAATATGTATAAAGGAGATCAAATTACAGACATGCTAAATATATGCCCTAAGACATTTAGGCAGAATCTTACCATTACATAATCATAACAAACAACCTTGATGACTATTAGCAGATAAATACTTCCAAACTCAAATATAAGTAATGGTGTCAGCCTCATATATCAGAGCCAATATACACATAAGCAAATATTACTCTGTTGGTCTTCAAGACATACTGATGTTATCCTCATACAATACTGATGTTATCCAAATGCACATGAACAACAACAATGTAATAGAAACATTCAGAGCTCAGTTCTCTTATGGGAGGAGAAATTGGACCAATACTGTACATTTAGTTGGATATAGCTTTTTGAACTACATTTCTTCAGAAGCAAACCTTAAAGGTAGGGTAGGTAAGAATGGAGAAACCAGCTTGATTGCTCTAGAATTTGAAACTACGCAGCCGAAAAAAAAATCTGCCCCTTCCTTCAGACTTCCTTACAGAGCCCCTCCTCCAACACACACGAACGCGCACATGACCAATAGAGAGGCGAAGTCGCTCCCTTTCCGGGGGATCTCCATGGGACTTTATTTCGGAAAAAGTATGTATTGAAGTCAATGGCGAGAGAAAGATTATCTTTCGATCCTGTTTGAATTGTACCACAAATTATACATATGATTTTTGTCAATTTAAAAGATAATTTTGTAAATCAAAAGAATAAAAATGTGTCGTACAACTGTGAAGTAACACTTTTTTGTGTGTGAAACCGCTCAATGAACTACATCTCCCGTCTCGTACCACACACCAAGATGGCCGTCACGTTGGCACATTTCACTTCTTTCTTTCAGAATGAGGCGAAAAGTATTAAAAGAGGTGAAAATCACTACAAGTCTGGGCATGTTGAGAGCTGTACATACACAAAAGGGGAGTTAGTCGGGACCGGGATTCTGGGATTTGTAGTCTTTCTAGTTGCGTATTTTTCATAGTCTTATATTTCAACAATTTTAAGACAAACTGTGACTTTTTCGACATGGAAATTATTTTTTAAGATTGACAAACATCATGTGTGTAATTCGTGGCACAATTCAAACGGGATCGAAAGATAATCTTTCTCTCCCCGTTGACTTCAATACATAATCTTTCCGAAATAAGGTCCCATGGGTCGGAAGTAGATGGGCGGGACTTCGCCTCTCTATGAGGGCACGAGATAAGTTTGTGCACAGATGGAAGGCTGACAGGCAGGTAGGCCATCCAGTTCTTTTAGCCGGGCCGGCTAAAATGATTGGTCGTGCTTTTTACAGCGCCACAGCTTCCACAGATGAAATATTTGTATGTATTTATTGTCAAAGCATTAATGTATTCATTGCTATCGGGATGTTAAGAACATTCCATGGAATATAACAAAAAGTGTTTCTGAAGTGAATTAACTACCCCACCTTTAATGTTTATGGAAATTACATCAAATATATTTTTGAATATAATAAACTAGTGACTCCTAATTAGCTTCATTAAATGCTAAAGATAACATTGACAGCTACTACAGAATTAAATCAGCCTAAGGATTATTGGACTTTATTGTCCTGCTTTAGCGTTAGATTTTTAAACAATTTGCTGCTTGAAAAAAAGTTGTTTCTATTTTAAGAAAAAAATATATAAAGCATTTTACAAATATATTGAATCATAACTTGTTAAAAAGTGTCTGTAGATTCAAACAATATGTCTGACATGGTACAATACTTCCACACTTCTTAGCTATTACATGCAGATGATTCAGAATGAATACCACGGGAGAAATATTGATTTATTATCTACTAATTGAATAATTGATTGGTCGATACAGTGGGAAAGAGAGGGAGAGTATAGGGTGTAGAAAAGTGTG